AGGACGTCTCGAGTGGGAGCGCCGTCTGTGAGCGAATCGCGAGGAAGTCTGGAGCGGGAGCCCCTCCCTGCGGGGTCCCCGCGTCATGTTGTTAATCCGAGGCGGTCATCCCAAACTTGAAACATTCGTCACGTTTGGGCCCCTCAGGCCTGAATCTGGAGGACGTCTCGAGTGGGAGTCTTCCCTCTGGGGTCCCCACGTCATGCTTGTAATTCGAGCGGTTCATGAAACCTATGTCTCTCGTCATTTTTTGGCTCCAATATGGAGAACATCTCAAGCGGGAGCTTGTCTGTGAGCGAATCGTGAGGAAGTCTCGAGCCCCAGTCCCTCCCCACGGGGTCCCCGCGCCATGTTGGCGATCCGAGGCGGCCGTCCCGAACCTCTCACAGGCGGCACTTTTCCGCCCCCTCGGGCCTGCATCTGGAGGACGTCTCGAGCGGGGGCCTCGTCTCTGAGCGTATCGCCTGGAAGTCCCGAGCGGGAGCCTCTCTCCCGGGACCGTCGTCAACGTGCTGGTTATCTTCTGCGCCTCCTGGGGGGCACCTGGCACCGGGGCGGGACCCGCGGCGAGGTTGCAGAGATGACGGGGACAACGATGGTGATGATGATGGTGATGATGCTGATGATGATGATGGTGGTGGTGATGATGATGCTGATGATGATGGTGGTGGTGATGGTGGTGGTGATGATGATGATGGCGGTGATGATGATGCTGATGCTGATGATGATGGTGGTAGAGGTGGTGGTGATGATGATGATGGTGGTGGTGATGATGATGATGGTGGTGGTGATGATGCTGATGATGATGATGATGATGAGGAGGAGGAGGAGGAGGGAGGAGGACTAACGGACTAACGCTTCAGGCTCACCCCCTTCGTTCGCGAAACGTCAACAAGGAGAAGGAGGATGAGGAGGACTAGGAGGAGGAGGAGGAGGAGGAGGAGGAGACCAGCAGAGACCAGCAGAGAAGCAGAGACCAACAAAGACCAGCAGAGACCAGCAGGCACGCGAGCTCGCCGCGACGCGCGGAGTCTGGACGTGCCCCTCGTCTTTTTGCAGGCCGTGGACGAGTGCAACACGATGCACGGCGATTCCGACGCGGGCTGGCGCTTTCTGAACGGCCCGACCACGCACAAAAGGGATGATATCCACGGCGTCTTACCAGCCCGCGCCGGCATGGAGGTCCAGCTCGCGGCCGTGCGGGAGTAGTTTAAGAAGAAGCAAGAGCTCGTGCAAGAGCAACGGGCCACCATTGCGTCTTTCGAGTTGACCCACAAGACGAACAGCAGCACGAGGAGCACGCGCGGGGCCAGCTCTTTCCCACTCCGCTTCCTGCCGCAGGGCATCTGGGTGCAAGTGTGCGGGTACGCAGAGTCTCCGATCGACCAGCAGGCCGCCGAACCATTGCTACAGGGGGCCGAAGATATTGACGACGGCGGCGAAGCCGAAGCGCGGGCGCGGAGCATGCCCCTGTTCAGGCCCATCAAGCAGGATTTCGCGTGGCAGAGCTCGGGGCCGCACGACGCGTGCACGCAACCCACCTCACCTCCGCAGTGTCGCAGGGACAGATGCTGCTCAATGGCGTCACCACCGACTGTGCGCGGAACGATGACGCTGGCCACGCAGGCATGTCGTGCGACCGTTGGGGCGTGCATCTTTGCGTCGCGTTCTCTCGCGCTGCGCGCGTGCGGAATATTTCGATCCCGCCGCCGCCCCCGCGCTGGTTCCTGGAGCGCGGGCCGCCAGCGCCACTACGGGAGGCGCTCCGGAAGGCCGACGAGAAACAGAGGCTCTTGGGGCAGTTCGCAGCAGAGTCGGGTTTCGCGCTGCCTCCCGCCTGGGCGCGGCCGCTGCGTTGTCCCAATGGCTTGCTCCCCCGCCCGAGCGGCCCGCGGAGTTGCCCCCGCGGCCTGGCCTGCAGGGTCGCCCCGATTTTTCGCGATCTGGTCATCGGAGAACGCGCTTCCGCCGTCCAAGGCTGAGACGGCGCCAAACAAAAAAACGACGCGCGTGGATTGTAAACGAGGAGTGACGTGTTGGGGGAGGGAAGGGGCAGGGCAACGAAAAGGACGTGCAGCAAGGGGCCGGGGGAGGGCCTCGGCCAGGGCGAGAAGGCAGAGGAGACCAGAAGAGAGCCTCGGCGCTCCTGATCCGTGCCAGGGGGGAGACCGAAGTGGGCATCCCGTGCATGGGGGCCGCCTGCAACGCAACGCGCGAGCGCAGAGCACACGGCCGCGCCCCCGCTCAGACCGCCCGCGGCGCAGCGCAGAGATAGCCGCCGCCTTCGCCTCGCCGTGGCCTGGGCCCGCCCACGGGGGGGTCGTCCCTCTCCGATGGCGGGGCGGCTGGCGGGCGCGCGAGGCGCCCGGGCCTCCGACCGCCGTGCCTGCGCCGCGACGCGGCGGCCCCTCCGTGGAGGGCTCGCCCCCCTCCCCCCTCCCCGTGGGGCCCCCGCGCGAAGAGCCCTGCGGCTGCCGGCCGCGGCCTGCCCGGGAGCGCCGCGCCGCCCCCCTCGACACACGCGCGCCCGCGGCGCGCCCGCGGGTGGCCTCCGGGCTGCCGCGCGGGGCGGCGCGGGGCGGGGCGCGGCTGCGGCCGCGGCCGCGGCCGCCGCCGCGCCATCGCGCAGCCGCGATCGCCGTCGCAGCCGCAGTCGCGCGGCAAGGGGGCGCGAATGTTTTGGCGTCCGCCGGGTTCCCCGTGCCTTTAGGTCGGGCGCGTCCCCTTACAGGGGGATTTTTCGGCTATGCGCAAGGGCGGCACTGGGTTAGAGTGACCTTGAGTGCACGGCTTTTGGGGGGCCGCGGGAGGACCAAACCTGGGCGCGCAAGCAGCTGCTACTCTGCTACCGTTCCGTTTTCAGCCATCTGGGCACCCACCTGTGCCCGCACCAGAGGCCTGCGAAAGGTCACTCCTACGGCGGGTCGAGTCTTGGACGAAAGATGCAACATAGTCAAACCACAAGCCCGTAGATGGACAGGCCTGTAGACGAAAAAATATCCCCCCTGTAGATGGACCGAGGAGGAGGAGGAGCAGGAGGAGGAGGAGGAGGAGGAGGAGGAGGAGGAGGAGGAGGAGGAGGAGGAGGAGGGAGGAGGAGGAGGAGGAGGAGGAGGGAGGAGGAGGAGGTAGAGGAGGAGGAGAGGACGAAAAAATATACCCTACCCCCCCTTGGAGGCGGGCGCCGCCCCCGGCGCCGGGGCCGCGTCCGGGCGCCGGGGCAGCCAGCTGGGCCGCAGCGTCGACAGCCTGGTGGCCGAGATCCTCGGCACCGCCAGCCTGGGGGGGGGCGGTACCCCTCCTCTTCCTCCTCCCCTCCTCCTCCTCCTCCTCCTCCTCCTCCTCCTACCCCTCCTCCCCTCTCCCCCTCCTCTCCCTCCCTCCTCTCTCTCCCTCCTCTCTCCTCCTCCTCTCTCCCTCCTCTCCTCCTCCTCTCCTCCTCCTCCCTCCTCCTCCTCTCCTCCTCCTCCCCCTCCTCCCTCCTCCTCCTCGTCCTCCTCCTCCTCCTCCTCCTTCCTCCTCCTCCTCCTCCTCCTCCTCCTCCTCCTCCTCCTCCTCCTCCTCCTCCTCCTCCTCCCCTGGTGTCCCCGCGAGGGCCAGGCGGGCCCCCCTCCCCTCCCCATGGCGCCATCATCGCAGAACGGATTTCGTTCGGAAAACAATAGGAGGGGCCCGGAGAGTCCTGGAGAACCTCGTTCCGGATGTCGAGGTGAATGTCGTATGTTTCCCGTTGCCAGGGATGCAGTGATTCAACGATCCACGTGAAATCAGCGTCGTTTTTCGCTCGCCGCTTCGGGCAAATATCCGTGCAACAATCCATGCAGAAATCGCAGCACGTCTGCAAGGCGGGTTCAATCACAAGTCAGCCAGCAGGAACTGGGGTTCAGCGCAAGCGAGGCTCAGCCAGAGCGCCGGGTCCCGCGGGATCCCAGGGGAGCCGCTCGCGGCCCCGGAGGTGGCGTTGTGCATGCTGTCCCAGCTCGGTTCGGGCCCCCACAAACCAATGATTTGGCGTTTTTGTTGTGTCTACGGGTCTACGGTAGGTTCGTGCGGCGTTGACGCGCCAGCGACACCGACGAAGGCCGTCAAGGTTGAATTCTGCGACGCGGAGCCACCGAGGGACACGGGGAAGCCACTGGGCCCGACAGAATTCAATTTTGAACAATCGGGGCCGCGATCGATTCAAGGTTGAACGATCGGTGCAGTGTCAAAAACTTTCGCGCGCGCCGACGCCGGACGAACCTACCGTAGATTGGTTGAGCCGGGTTTGCGCTGAATTGGGGTATTCCACGTCAGAACAGTGAAGATCAGCAGCGGCCTGTCGCCCAGATAAGGTCAATTCGAAGCGTGGTCACAAGCTCGTGGGCCAAACACCTGAGCCTCTTGGCTGGAGGCTCAAAGCCCGATAGATATGCCCAGAGAGAAAAGCACTTCGAGGTGGCTGGGATCTTCAGAGTGACGAGCCGAGCGGAATCACATTGTCACTGGATGTGCGGTTGAATTGGGTGTTCGCGGCGCAGGTTCTCGCTGCCGTTTTTGTTGTTGTTTTTGTTGTGTTGCCCCCGCCCTTCGATCCGCCCGCCCTTTCGATCTTTGGCCTTGCGTCCTCGGGTATTCGGGCCTGACGCCGCTACAGCCTTTTCACCATAGACGCTCCAGGGGTCCCCAAATCCCTCCCCCGCACCGTCACGGCTGGTTTCGACTTTTAGGTTCGCTGTCCACCTGGTCATGCCGGAACTACTGCAGCCTCAGCTCCCTTACTTTCCTATCCCTTTCCAGAGAGGCCCGGCCAATTCCTGTCGCAACTTTTTCAGACCGGGCTTTCTCTTCCCGCTTCGGGCTCATGGTCCCTCAGGGGACGAGCAGTCTCGAGAATCGCTATGGAAAGACGGCGTTTGCAGCTCTGGCCATGATGTGCTTTCTGTCGGCAATTTGGGATTTCATGGAAAGCTCAAGAGAGTGCACACTTTCAGAGGGCACGTGGCGCGGCATGTGCCGTCATGGCTCAGAAGGTGTCTTGGCTCAAGCCAGCGTCGCCCACAGCACACCCCCGTCGGGTTTTATTGCAGACTCGTGTCAATGAAGGCTGCTCTGGTGCTCCTCAGCGCCCTCTTGCTGGCTGGCGTGTCTGGCCAGTCTCCAGTGGGCAAGGTTATCGAGCTCTTGTCTGGCCTGGAGGCTCAGATCCAGAAGGAGGCCGAGGAAGCTGCGAAGCTCAACAGCGAGAAGGAGGGATGGTGCAAGGACACGGCTACCCAGCTTGGCTTTGAGATCAGGACCGGCTCCAGCGACGTGGACAAGCTCACTGCCGCCATCGGCAAGGAGGCGGCGTCGATCAGTGCGCTGGCCAGCAAGGTCGACGAGCTCGCGGCCGCGATCGCCAAGGACCGCGAGATAGAAGCTATTCAGGTGCACCGATCTTGCCTCGGTCAGTCCTGGGCCATGGGCGATGGATGAGATAAGAAAGAGGTACCTGTACCCCTAACCTTCACTCGTGTTCGCCTTCGTGGGCTTCCCGGGCGGCCGTTGTCGCCACGGCCGGATTTTTGCGAAAAACGGAAAATCTTGGTTAGAACAAGCCGTGTCTGGGGAGCTGCGGTTTCGGTCTGGTCCTTCTGGGGGCCCGCCATGACTCCCGCAGAGCGGGAGTCCTTGCGGGCCCCCAGAGGGAAGCATGCACGCAGGTGTTACGCAATCAGTGGGTGTTCGGGATACGGTTTCGACGAGGGTCGGTACCACTCGCTGCAGTTTTTTCTCGGGGCCATCCTTGAGTCCCTTTGGGTGGGGCAGGCGGTCTGCGGAACCAACAGAGGGCCTGCGGAGGTTCACGAGCCACGGAGTGCGCAAGGGCCAACAGTGCGCGAACCGAAGCTGCCCTGAACCGTCTGAGGGGTCAGCCGAGGGCCCCGGGTGAGTCCAGGAGGCACGGCGTGCTGCAGGAGCGTGCCGAGTGCGAGGCTCACGGTGGCCGCGTCTCGAGGGCCAGCGGGTCGCCCGTGGAGGTCTTCTGGTGCACGAGGTGCGCGAGGGGTGTGCCAAATTGCTACCGTGATGCACGACGTGCTCGAGGGGTGTGCCAAATTGAGGCTCCCAGGAGAGCTGCTGCGCGAGTCCCTCGTGCTTGCGGTGTCTCGGATGCCCGTGGGCGCAGAAGGTTTGTGCGGGGTGCGCCGAGTGGATGCCGTCGCAGCCCTGAGGGCGCATCTCGTCTGTGTCTCTGCGTGCCCCAGGAGGTGCCACGCGCGTGGTCCTAGCGCTGGGAGGGCGCTACACTACTGTAGTATTGCTACATGTCCCCAGGAGAACTCATGAGATCGGCCACCTGGAGGCGTGCGGAATGCGCGAGGCCGCTCTTAGAGATAGAGTGCCTTCACGCGTGGCTTCGTCTCACGAGTTGCGCTCGAGGCTCACGGCGAGGGCCCGCAGAGGGGGCCTTCGCCGGATGGGGCCCGGGAGAGCAGGAGTCGTGGCGGGTCCCCAGCAGAGTTTGCAGCCACTGGGCTGCCTCGACGGGGGTCGGTGCGTACCAATCGTAGCAATATTGCTTCGGGGCGTCTTGGCTCGGGCGAAAAGAACTATGCACATGCACCGATCCTGACAACGCCCATCCTTGACCCAGGATCGGTGCATATATATCTTCCTGGCCAAGGTAGGAGGGCGTATGCACCGATCCTGGGCTCAGGATGGTCCTGGCCAGAATCGGTGTATGTGCATAGTTCTTTTTCCTCTATTGGCGCCCCTCTGGGGGCTGTGCGCTCTTGGAGGCCCGCTGGAGGCCTTCTGGGTTCCATGTGGGGCACGACGTGCGTGAGCGCTGTCTCGGATTGAGGCTCCACGGAGATGCCTCGGTCCTGGAGGCCTCTCCGAGAAGATTTGACCGACGGCACGGCGGCGACGACGACGACAATGATGATGGATATCACGGCGATCTCCTGTCTATTCTGTTCATGATGAAGATGACGAGGGCTGAAGAAGACGCTGAGCAGTAGTACGATGATGATGATGATGATGATGATGATGATGATGATGATGATGATGATGATGCTGACGATGCTGACGATGCTGACGATGCTGATGACGATGATGATGACGGTGGTGGTGGTTTTGGTGGGTGTAGTGGTGATAATGTAGATGATGATGGTGGTGACGCTGATGATTATGATGAGGATTGGAATGCTGACAATTATGACGAAGGTCATAGTGATGGTGATGACGATGATGGTGGTAATGACTATGACGGCGATAAGAAATATCATGATGCTGATGCTGATGTTGATGTTGATGCCGATGCTGCAACTGATGCTGATGCAGATGCTGATGCAGATGACGATGATGATAATGATGATGATTATGATGATGTTGTGGGTGATGGTGATGTTGACGATGCTGATGTTGATGATGTCGATGATGATAGTGCCGATGATGATGATGATGATGATGACGACGCTGATGAGAATGGCAAGGATACGTAATACGACGATTGTGATGATGATGGTGAGTGAACCGATGATGCCGACGGATATGATGATGATACTGCGATGGCTAATGAGGATAGGTATGATGCTGGTACTGTGATGGATGCTGTTGATGCCGATGATGATTTTGTTGATGTTGATGATGATGATGATGATGATGATGATGATGATGATGATGATGATGATTATGATGATGATGATGATGATGATGATGGTGATGCTGCTGCTGATGATGATGATGCTGTTCATCGTGCTCATGACGATGATGATTCCGATGGTCTGGACGATGTCGATGTTGAAGGCGGTGAGCGTGATGATGCTGAGGACGCAGACTTTGACAATAAAGTTGACGGTGACGATGATGGTGACAATCATCATCATGAAAATGCTGGTGCTCACGTTTCCTTCTTCATCCGGCGGCCCATCTCCGAGGCTGCCTGAGGGCCCAACGCTTGCCCGAGAGGGCGCCCCCGAGGAGCCCCAGAGGCCACCAAGACGGTTCCAGGAGCCGTCAAGAACCACTGCACACCGACCCAAGAGACTTTGAAGAGATCAGCCGTAGGCGCGCTAACGGTGTGTTAGCCAACGGCGAAGCAGGGCATCCAAGTTTAGGAAGGCGTGGTTCGTGGCTGAACCAATTCTGGGAACGCGTGGTTCGTCGTGTTGTTCTACAACTCGATGTGTCGTTCTTGTTCGGTTCACTCGCATATTTGAGATGTAGGAAACGGTGTTTCGCGATTTCCTACAATTTGTTTTGCGCGAGCTCGGTGTCACAAAAACAAGATTCCCAACCGCACCGTTAATCAAGGACGCCGTTGGCGCGGCCTTGGATTGGCCTGACAGCTTCCGAATTCGGCAGCTGGGCCAAGAGCGCCCTAAGACAGCCTGCGGAGCCTCCTCGAGGCCCCAAGGCGGCACCAAAAAGGCATCCAAGATGCCACCAAGAGGCGTCCAAGAGTCCAACAGGACGTCCGAATCGTTCACCCACCTAATGGGAAGCTGCAGGTCCTGAACTCGCGTTTTCGCGCTCGACGGGCTGGCCTCTCGGGACTGCAGATGCTCTCCAGAAGGCCCAGGGGGCTCCCGGCACGACAGCAAGGGGGCCCGGAAAGAATTTGCAGGCAAATGCCAGGAGCCCGCCGCCCCCCCAGCCCCCCCCGCAGCGCCTCCAAGCGGCTCCCCGAGGGGCGCAGTCGGCCAGATGTTTCGGGATTCCTCTCTGAGAACAGCGGGCAGACGACGACGATGACGATGTTTATGCTTATTCTGATGGTAGTGGTGATGGTGCTGATGCTGATGATGATGCTGATGCTGGTGATGGTTATGATGCTGTCGATCACGACGATTATGATGATGATGCTGGTGATGATGATGATATTGATGATGATGATGATGCTGGTGATGATGAGGGTGATGATGATGATGATGATGATGCTGATCATGCTGCTGATGATGATGAATGTGATGATGATGATGATGATGATGATGATGATGATGATGATGATGATGATGATGATGATGATGGGTAAGACGATGTCAGTGGTGACGTGCACGATTAGCGTACCTCGCACTGGCGATGATGGTGATGGGAGTGAATATGCAGGTTGTGGCTAGGATGAGGATGGGGACAGTGATGATGATGACGATGATGACTGCGATGATGATGATGATGATGATGATGATGATGATGATGATGATGATGATGATGATCAAGGTGATGGTGGTGATGCTGATTGAGATGATGATTATTCTGATGATGATAATGATGATGAGTATGATGCTTATGATGATGAGTATGATGATGCAACTGATGATACATGAGGATGATGCTATGCGAGTTTGGCGTGACGGCATTGCTACCAGATCTGGACGTATGAGGTTCCCCAGGATGTTGATATTATTGGCGTTGTAATGGTGTTGATGATGATGACGGTGACGATGATGATGATGATGATGATCGTGATGATGATGACGACGATGATGATGCTGATCTGTATGATGATGCTGGTTATGCTGATGCTGATGTTGATGATTCTGCTGATGATGATAATGCTGATTCAGATGATGATGATCATGATGCTGATGCTGATGATATTGTTGCAGTTGCTGCTGTTGACGATGATGCTGCTGATGATGATGAGTAGGATCCTGATGATGCGTGTGATGGTGATTAGCAGGATGAGGAGGAGTACGAGGGTAAGGATGGGACCGAGGATGAGGATGGAGATGGATACGACTATGGCACGCGCTTGTTCATGACAGCGCTGCCAAAGCTCTTCCAGCGACCCCCGGCCTGCGCTAGAACCGGAGCGCCCGCGAAGCGCGCACGATGGTTCTGCATGTCTATCTCTTTCTCTCTCACGCTCTCTCTTTCTCTCTTTTTGTTTTCTCTCTCTCTCTCTCTTTTTCTCTCTTTTTGTCTCTCTCTCTCTCTCTCTCTATATATCCATATATATATGTACATGTATGTGTATATATACACATATAGGTGTATCCACATACATATATATATATATGTATTGATAATATATATATATATACATACATATTCATATATATATGTTTACATGTATATATATATGTATACACATCGAATGGCCTTCGGCCCATCCCGCAACCATGCCTGCGTTCTGGGTATGAAGCCTATTGCATTTTCGTTGGAATCTCGTGGGGGGCTTCTCGGAGACCTCTTGCAGGCAGTTTGGATGCCTCTAGGGGGCCGTTCTGGGGCCCCTTGGGGCCCCCCAGTGGGCCTCTTGGGGGTCTCTTGGGGCCTCTTTGGGGCCTCTTGGGGCCTCCTAGTCGTCTCTTTGGGCCTCCTGGGAGCTTCGTGAGGCGGAAGCCTGAAATTGTCAGTTCGTGGACCCCCATTTGGGCCCCTCTTGGGGTCGTGTCGGTGCGTTCTTGGGCCGGCGTAGGCTCCTCTTTGGCCGTCTTAGGGCCCGTTTTGGGGGGGGCCTTTGAGGGGCCTTTGGGGCCATCTTGGGGCTGTCGTCAGGGCCTGTTGCGCCGTCTGGGAGCGTCGGAAAACCCAAAAGGCGAGAAGGCCAAAAACCATTTAAAACTATGTGAAATCTATGATTTTGGCCTCGTGGCCCTCTTGGGAGTCCTCAGGGGGGGCTCTTGGGGTGTCCTGGGGCCTTCTTGGATTGTCTTGGGGCCATTTGGGGCGTCTTGGGGCGATCGTTCGGCTACTCGGGGCCCTCCTGGGCCGTCTTGAGAGCCTCCTGCGGCCCTTTGGGGCGCCTTGGGGCCCTCTGGGGCCCGAAAAAGTCATGCGACAAGATGCGACGGGGCCCTGGGGAACCGCGACAAGCCCCAGGAGATTTCGGACTTTGGGGGGTCCGCCCCTCTTAAAGTCCCTTCAGGAGTGAGGATCGAGGCTTAGAGGATTAGGCAACGGATCTGGGGACACGCCAACTCCGTGCCCTATGTATGTACGCATGTATTTATGTATGTATGTATGGATGCATGCATGCATGCATGCATGCATGTATGTATGTATGCATGCATGCATGCATGCATGCATGGTAGTATGTATGTATGTGTATATGTATGTATGCATGTACGCATGTATGGTTGTGTACATGTATGTATGTATGTATGTATGTGTATGTATGTATGTATGCATGCATGCATGCATGCATGTATGTATGTATGTATGTATGTATGTATGTATGCATGTATGTATGCACGTATGTATGTATGTATGCCTGCATGCATGCATGCATGCATGTAGTCATGTATGAATGTATGCATGCATGCATGCATGCATGTATGTATGTATGTATGTGTGGATGCATGCATGGCTGCATCTATGTATATGTGTATGTGTATGTGTATGCATGCATGCATGCATGAATGCATGCATGCATGCACGTATGTACGTACGTACGTACGTACGTACGTACGTGTGTATGTATGTGTATGTGCATGTATGCATGTAGATATGTATATATACATATACATATAGGTGCCTCCAGTTCCCAGAGGCGCCTGGAAAGTGGGCGCGTGACCTCTTGCCACGCGCCCTCTGTCATCCGATCCGATTGTGGCTCCTTTCGCCCGCTGCCTCTCTTTCCTTTTCTCCCCGCCCCCCAGCCTCCTGGCCTCGGGCGGCCATGCCGCAGTGTCCCTGTCAATGCCAGCCATCCGCTGCTCCCGCCCCCACTCGGGGCGCTGCGGTACGACGTCCGTGGAGATCCACTGTGATCCCCCTGCCTCAGGCGCTCGCTGCCACGCCCCGCCACCCTTGCCACCGTGGTTCACCACGGCCGCCCACCGCGCTCTGGCCCTGCGCGCCAAGGCTGCTGCTGCCCGCCCGGCTGCTCATCGTCGAACTTTTCGGCGTCTGAGCGTCCCTCCTTCTTCCCTCTTTGCTCGCCGGCCAATTCGCTAGTTGGTGCCCCTATCTAGCTCACGCTGAAGCGGATTTTGCCGTCTCGCCGCTGGCGAAGAAAATGTCGCCGTCTTGGAGCCGACATTGGGCCCTCTCGGACGGGGTCAGGACGTCAGATATACGAAGAACGAGAGCGGAGACCCTAGATCAGGACGAATACATCAAACAATTTCGTCCGATCGAACCTCCCGACTTCACGATTGCGAAATCTGCCTCAAACATGTTCGTTCGCCTCCGTGGAGAGTTTGCTTGCTTGTGTAACTCAGGTTTGGCTGATGGCATGCGTTCCAAGCGTTCCGGAACGATCCCAAGGCGTTCCGGGACGTTCTGAAATTAAAGGTCTTGGCGCCCGAGACATCCTCCAGAGCCGCTGGGCCTCGGGTGTCTCCGATGACGATCCTCGCCCGAGCTTGTCCTCGTCCTGGCTTCGTCTCGCGTGGCGCCGTCTCGGAGCCCGCACAGGGCCCTCCGGGCCTCGCGAGGGGGGGCCCCCGGGGGCCACCCGGGCCCTCTGCAAGGCACCAAATGCTCGCGCCTCGCGCCGGGTGGCCCGGGCCGCAGGGCTGCCCCCTTGCCTGGGGGGCGGCGCGAGGGCGCGGTGCCACCGCGCGCCGCGCATCGCGGGGCGCGCTGCGCGCAGGGCGGCGCCGCGAGTCAGAATGCATGCCCGAACTCGTGATGTATCAACCTACTTTAGCCTTGATCACCAGAAGGAACTTCGAGCACCAAAGAAATCATATCGACGCTCGAGGGTTTTCACGTGTCGGGCCCTGGGCGGCCATCGTCCGACACCGTTTCGACACTCTTTCGACACTTTTTTCCGGGTGCTCGAAGCTATGTTTGGGATGTGGCCCTGAAGTGCAATGGGAGCAACATAGGCCTGAACATCGTGACTGTAGCCTTACAGTGAGCGTCTTGAACAAAGGAACGCTTACTTTTCAAAAGCGGATCGGTCTCGGCGGCCGGTTGCCCTCCAGGTGGCCCGGGCTTCGCTCGCTCTCTCGGAGGCCGTGCGGTCGTGCCCCCTCTGCCTCGCCAAGAGGCGCCCGGCGGAAGCGCCTGGTCGCCGCCGCCGTCGTCGGCGGCAGCTGTAGCTTGAAGTCGGGTTCGTCCCTCTACAGGAGGACTATTCCAAAATAGCCAAACAATAGTATGGGCACGATTTGTTTAGTACCTTTTGATTGTCATTTTTTGGGGGTATGTTTTTCTTTTCGTCCAACCTTCGCCTGTAGGGGGACGCGCCCGACCTAACGGAAGCACCTGGTCGCCGCCAGCGTCGTCGGCGGCGGCGGTAGCTTCAAACGTCTTCGGCGGGGCCGGGCCGACCCCTCGGATCCGAGCTCCGGAGCCGCAGCCGCCTTTTGGCAGCGCCACTGCCGGGAGGACGACGCGGACCTCGCCGCGGCCGCCAAGATTCGTGGCGAGGAGGCGTCCGACTTCGCCCAGGAGGAGAAGGTCAGGGGCGGCCTGCCCGACCCCCCCGGCGCACGGACCCACTCCGCGACGGCCCCGTCGCCTCGCTCCTCGACGTGGGCCTGCGTCCAGAGTGGAGCCGGGCATGCCCCTATGCAGGAGGGAAAATTCAAGAATAGAGAGGACATCGTCCGGGGACGATGTTTTGTTTGACTAATTGCTTTTGACTATTTTGGGGTATTCGTTTTGACTACTTGTAAAGTTTGACACATTGCTTTTGTCTATGTTTGGATATTTGTTTTGACTCCTTCTAAAGTCTCCTCCAATCTCCGCCCGTAGGAGGACATGCCCGACCCAAGTCCAGAGGCGGGCGTCGAGGGTGGCAGGGCCGTCACGGGCGGGGTTCGCCACGGGGGGGGGGCGGTGCGACCGCCCACGGCAAGGAGCTCACGGAGACCCTGTCCGCTATCCAGAGGGCGATCGGCATCCTCGAGAGGCGGGGTCTGCCCCCTCGAATCGAGCCGGACGAAAGGGGGGGCTACGAAATTTGCTGCATGCAGCTGGTATCGGCCTCACCGATGGGCCCATCCCTCGGTACATGGCCGCCTCCGGCGCCGGGAGGCGCCGGGAAAGTCAGCTGCGGGAGCCGATTCTCAAACCGCCCCCTTTCGCCCGACCCGGTCGAAGCCTTGGGGGGGGTCATCTCGGGGAGGAGGTCCTGCCTTCCCGGAATCGGACGGCGCGGGGAGGCTCGGGCGGCCTGCGGCCGGCCTCGCCCCCCGCCTTTGGAGCGCCCTCCTCGACACGTCTTGAAGCCGGGGAAGTGCGCTGCGCGTGAGGAGGAGGAGGAGGAGGAGGAGGAGGAGGAGGAGGAGGAGGAGGAGGAGGAGGAGGAGGAGCCTTCTCGTTCGCCCTCGTCCTCCTCGTGCTCCCCCGCCTCCTCACGTCCTCATCCTGCGCCTCCGCCTCCGCCTCGTTGTGCCCCTATTTCACCTCCTCGTCCTCATCCTCTCCCTTCCCCTCATCCTTCTTCGCCCTCCCCCATTTTTGCTCCTGGTACTCCTTCTCCACGTCGTCGCCGTCATCCGTGTTGCCGTTCTCATGCTGATGCTCTTTCTCCTGTCTGCTACTCTGCCCTCTCTTCCCTCCGCGATGTCCCTGCCCCTCTTCTCTTCGACACACCCTCTCGCCCTCCACCTCTCTCTGCTTCTCACCCCCATGCCCTGCCCCGCTCCCCTCTCCTTTCCCGCCCTGTGGACTGAGGAAGTTGACCTGCTGGGCAAATAATCGGCACGATACCTGCACGGCAGGGCTACGATGGGCGTAGGCCACGCGTCTCGAGCTCGCCTTCGGGCAGTCCGGTGGCCGTGGACCCCTGAACTAGAACGTGCAGCTACTAGGTATACGGATAGTAATATGAATGTTCTGTATTGTGGAGCGAGGTTGGTCGGGGTTGGTCGGAGCGTTGGTCAGCCTTGGCCGAATGGTTGGTCGGGACGGTTTGTTGATTGGTTTGCTCTGTCCGTTGCGTCTTGTAGAACGCGCCCGCGTCATTGCAGGCACGAGGTTCTCGCTGCCTGTGCACATGACGTCCCCTCTGTGCCTCATCGAACCTCTCCGCACAACGGGTTAGAGTGGCTTGAACGCGGCATAGCAGGCATGCTGCATCTTGGGCCACAAGTGTGCGAGAGGCAGTCCAGACATATGTGCACAAGTGGATGCTAAGTCTATTCCAGCTCCCCCCCTTATCCCCCCTTCTGATCCTACCCCTCCTACCCCCCCACCTCCCGCCCTCCGCCAAGCCGCGTCCTCACCCTACTTCCCCCTCTACCTCGTCCCTTGAATCGTCGTCCTTCCTCTCTCCTTCCTCCCTCCCCCCATCCTTCTGCTCCTCCTCCTCCTCCTCCTCCTCCTCCTCCTCCTCCTCCTCCTCCTCCTCTTGCTTCTCTCCTCCCCACTTCCTCCTCTCCTGCTCCCCCGTCGTAGCCCCCCCCGCCCCCTCCTCGGCGCGCCACCTCCCTCCCTGCCCTCCTCCTCCGACTCCTCCTCCGCCCCAGCCCATTTCAGCCCCCCCCCTTTTGCTGGGCATACCTGTCACCGCAACTACATGCATACTCGCGCACATGGCAATTGGGTGGTAAGCACTCGCTTTCTACTCGCACGTGCATCATGGTCGCTCACACGGTTTCTGTCTCTTCCTACAATTGTCTCCGTCTGCAGCAGCACGACAGGTTCCAGGACATATGCCACGCACTTCGTACGAGCATCATACTTATTCAAGGCACACGGCGTCGCATTCATGAACAAGATCCATGCGACACAGATACGTCCTTCAAGTACCATCAGTTTCACTTCGGTTATCATCCCAAACAAGGCAACGCACACACACACACACACACTGGAGTTACTATCGCAATATCATGTCAGAGGTTCCCAAGATCCAATATCATTCTCCGTATCATACCCTAAGCAGCAATATCTCAGGGGACCTGGTGGGGCTATTCGATGCAAGAACCAGCAGTCTGACTTCACATGTATCTCGGCTTATTTCCCTCCGAACACCGATTCTGCCCGAAGCCGTAGAGATTATAAAAAACGTTGGCGTGGCTTGAAGAATTGTACTCGGCTCTATCATCTCGTACACTCCCTGCCTTGGGTATTGACTCTAACGAGCACATTGGGCTTATCAGGGCTCCAGCGGGCCCTACACCTACCGATGATTCCTGCACTGGGCCCTTCAATCGCAGCTTGCAGCAGCCCCGCACGCATCAGTTCATAGAATTCCTTCTCAAGCATGGTCTGATATTACTCAACACGTTCTACCCGACATCCCCTACATATTACCATGGAGTATCAGGCTCCACCAGCCACGTCGACTTCATTGTTGTTCCTCGCAGTTTTTACTTGGCACAACATGTCGTCAAATGTCAGGTTCTTCGCTCGCTCGGCGATCGATTGCAACTGGTTCCTGATACTCTGCGAATTGACCATCGCCCAGTGTATCTTCTTCTTGAACATAATCTTCGCTATGAAGGCCAAGGAGCAGACAATCATGTTCGTTGGGATTGTGATAAACTCGTTCAATCCGTTATGCAAGGCTCTCGGCGTCAGGAGTTTTTTTCATCGCTCTCGATGAGTGCACCGAAGATCACGCGGACGAACTTGATGTTACTTCAAAAAAGAGCTCACCCGAACAATGGGAATAACTTATCGAGCGCGGTTTACTTCCCATTGACGCGGAACACTATGGAATAAAAGGCACACGCAGCAGGACCCCACTCCCAAGAACGACGAGATCTTCTTCGCCGGCGACGAGAGTTAGGCGTTCAATGCTTGCAGAATTATCGGGTATCACAGCATGGTGTTCTATTCTACTGCATTTCAGCATTGGCACAAGCTTTCTCAACTGTTTCGTCTTAGTCGGAGCATCCGTCGGTATCATGCCGCCCGTACCAAAGAACTCAACGAACAACGACGCATCGAACTACAAGAGGCTTGGCGCGCACGAAGACTGGCAGAAGCATGGCAACTCGCACGACTTCTTACGGGCAAACGTATCGGACGACGCCTGCGAAATTATTACAAAGCTGCCTTACGTCGTCGATCCGAAGCTGTATGGTTTCACAAACTATCTCAGCCTGGATCGCAAGGGGGATGGAATTGCGTTCGTCTACCTGTCGCACAAGTTAGGCAGATTTTTTTCGACGATCGCGATGATACGGTTCATGTTAGCCATCAGTGTCATTTACTTGGTGAATATGATTTGAAGCAGGTCAGCTGGTGGGTTCGAAAAAGCTCTAATCGTCGGTCACCTCCATCGTGGGACGTACCGAATGAAGTCTGGACAATGATTCTGTGGTCTCAGTCAGTCTACAAATCAGAATCACATGGAGTTGGACACGACGCGACCCTGTATGTGCCGCTGCTTTTTTTTTTTTGAAACATCTTCAACGGATTTTGGATATGATTCGTGCTACTGGTCACAGCCCATTTCAATTTCACCGCAGTCAGGGGTTTCAGATCCCAAAAAAAGACGATGTCCACATTGTTCACAGCATCTCCCCTTTCTCCAAGGCATATCACGAAGGCCTCCTTCGACGACCGGGCAAGCCTTCCCGACCCCCCGCCACGCCGTGCATTTGCTGTGCCAGGCCGGCGCCGTGAAGAAACTATACTTATTAAGGTGCTGGTCTCTCATCGCTGCTCTAAGAATGGCATAAGCATTGCCAATCATCACTACGACGTGGCCAACGCGTTCGCCTCCCCGTCTCACGATGCGATGGACAAGGCTACTCAACATCTAATGCTACATCAGCCTGAAGATGACTTTCTAGAAGAGGAGGACGTTGCACCAGTTCACGTCGCAGAACAAGACGAACGCTTACTGCGTCAACATCATAGACACTCTACATGTGTGCTACAGACATCAGATGTCCCTGCTGAGTTTTATCCTCGCAGTGGCACATTCCAGGGCAACAGCGTCGCTACAAACGAGTTTCACATAGTGCGCTGGCAGGCTATACAAGCATGGGGAGAAAAAACGAGGGATCCTCAGCTACTTGTTCCATCGCCCTTGAATTCCGCCGTTGTCGACATGTTAATCACCTCCTTTGTCGACGATCTTTGTAAGCAGTGCACTATTACTACACCCGCCAGCCTATATGATACTCAAGCACAGCATGACAATGTCCTGAACACCATATTCACGGACTACACGATTGCGCAGCACACAGGAAAAAGCGAGTCTACTGCACACTTCGTTGGAGCGCCTGCACAGATTCATCAGCGCACTGTTCGTTCACAGCAATCACAATGCACAGTACTTAGCGCGGCACGCTACCAAGGACCATGTCTGCATTATCGCAATTGTTTCTACGTCGAGCGCAATCTGCGCATTCAAGCCGCAAACAAAGCGTGGTTCATATTCAAGCGAGTCTGGTTCACTAAGACTGATCTTCGGTTCCGCGTTTTAGTATTTTGATGCGCAGTCTTGTCCGCACCTTCAGATCTTACACCATTCGTTCTTGCAGATCATGGCCACGCTATCTTCGACGAGTACATATTATATAAGGGACGCAAACTGATGAAAGGCAAAGCTACAAATAAACATCCCCTTCAACGGCGGCACAATCAAATACAGACCCAACCCCTCGATGGAAGCCTGGAGAAATATAGGCATGGCAGACGCACTTACTGAGCCTCGTATTCAGAGATTGAAATGCTTCCAAAAGATACGCAGTCATCCTCTTCATCACCAGCTGTATGTAACAGCTATGTTCGGACGATTCCCTCATTATCCCCTTAGTGTGGACAATTCTCATCCATGGCTACAGCAGTTGACTACAGATCTACAGGAGTTGTCTTCGCTCGGATGCACATATTTTCTCGACGGCGCTCCCCCGTCGCAGTTGACCGCGGCAGGCGCTCTGCAGGAAGACTTTCTTGGTATCGATGTATCTGAATTGCGAGCTAAGTTTCCTGTTAACATACCTCCTTCTCATTGCGATTGCGACATACTTAATCCTACCACGTCCTCATGTTCATTACCTACAGGTGAATATTATTGTGGTCTCATGCGTACTGATGGTAACATATGCACGCTCACATTCCCTACCGTGACAGCTCTCAGGTTACATCGCGCACGTGAACAGTCTATGCGCGGCATGATCACTTCAGACTCCATCGTGATGGAAGCTGTATGCCCATGGTGCTCTACGCACTTCTCTATTCGAAAAATCGCACAGGATCATGCACGACGTAGCTGGCATGATGGTAGATGTATTGTTGATCAGAGCTTTCTTCCGTCGCCCCCTATCTTGTCAGATACCGCATACACGTGCACCATATGTAGTCCCTACGGGAACACTTACGAGTGCGACGACATTTACGCGTACAACCATCATATCCGTATCAAGTACATATCTGGCCCAAGACGACTTGAGTTATCTACAACAGATACCTCGTCCATATTCTTACCGCAGCCCGCGGCACCCCGCCTCGCTGGTTCTCGGCCTAGCAGCAGGCGGCCCCAATATGCAGGCGAAGGAGCGCTGCAAAGACGCCAGCCAGTACAATCTTCTTCTCATAACAAAGTTGTGCCTCAGTATTGCTATGTCGCCAAAGACTCTCAGGGCAATCGAATGGGAAAACTATCAAGTGAGCGGGAACCCAGAGTATTTCACCCAACGCAAGAATTTTCCGATAGCTATGCAGAGACGACGAAACAGTGTAGCAACAGGGATCAGAAACAGCAGAAGATGGCCACCCTGGCACACCCTCTCATTTGCGTGTGGAACGCACGGATCATCACGGCGAAGATCAATCCTGGCGAGAAAGATGTGGATCCGATGCTGAACTACTTGCAGCACTACACCGACAAGACGAAGGACAACAACGTGGACAAGGATCGGTACCTTTACAACCTAATGAAAGTAATACGATCTGTTCGCTGCTGCAAGACGTGCGACAGCAAGATCAAACTCTTCGAGACCAACGTGAATTCTGGCAACGACAGCGAGAGGGTGCTATACCTGATACTTGTACCACTAGGGCGTCGCGACAAGGCAGTGAAGCTCGAGGAAGACATCGAGCGCAGGATCCAGCAGGCGACCGACGCGTTCGAGGCGCAGTGAGACCAGCTCGTGAATTTTCAGCTGAAGCTCCTGTTGCGCCTGCTGGTCTTCCAGGCCCCTGCCTCCGCCTGCCGAGAGATAGTTTCCCCTCTCGTCCTCCCCGTCCTCCTCCCTCCCCTCCCCCTCCTCCTCCCCCTGTCTTCAGTGTGTCCGACGGCGCTCGTCTGTCTTCGCGGTTTCAGGCAGCTCGTTTGATACATGAGCGATCTAAATCGAGATCACAGGGAGAAGCCTTGTGGTGCACTCGTGCTACAGGTATGAGTGCACGGCGTTCGCGGCCTTTCACGCTTCGTGCTGATCCAGGGCTTGCGTGCACTGTCGTCGGTGGGCCTAGCTCGTGTTACCCCCTTCTACGGTCGCGCGTCTCTGAGCGTACGAGCCCCTGTTCAGGTCAATTCTGCCAGGCTGATTCGACAGGTCTTCGAACGATCGCTCTTGTGAGCTGTTGTTGTTATTATTATTATTAGTATTAGTATTATTATTATACCTCCTCCGCCTCCTCCTCCGCCTCCTCCTCCTTCTCCCCCCTCCGATTCCTTTCCCTCCACCCATCCCCCTCTGCTCCTCCCTGTCCCCCAACCCCTCCCCTTCTGCCCCCTCCTCCCCCCTCTGCTTCCCGCCCGTACCCCCCTTCGGCCCTCGTCCTCTCGTTGACTCCCCCCTCATCTCGCCCCCTCGCCCTCGCTGCCGCCACCGCCCTCCTCCCCCGCCCCTCCCAACTCGTCGCCGCTGCCCAGCGGCCCGATGCAGGGAGATGGCCAAGGGCGGCGGGGCCGCCCTCGTCCAGGTCCAGTCCGCTGGCTCCGTGGTCCAGGCGCTGCAGGCCCTGGTGAAGGCCCGTGCCGGCGCAGCGCGCCGCCGAAGAGGGCGTCGATCGGGCAGTCCCTAGTTATGCCATTCGGAAACCCAACAAACTTATAACATGTCTGGCGTGATGATATCTGACGTGAAACTTGCAAGAATGATGGAGGTGGCCGTTGCGTCGCCGATACTGTTGATGGCGCCGGTCAATCGTTGGGAGTCTGAGTGCCCTGAGGGGGTCCAGGAAGGGCAAAAGCCTGGGCGCTACTGACCAACCACCACTTTGACCCCACCAGCTGGCTGGGCCTTCCACGTCGCGCAAAGACTCGATGCCGCGCTCAGAGAGCATTTCCTGTGGTGTCGAGGAAGTGCCACGCCTGCCTCGCTGTGCGATCCCGAAACGGATAGCGCTCCCACCCCGGGCGCACCCTCTGTGGTGTCGAAGTGCCATGCCAGGCGCGGCGGCGCGCGAAGAGGCAGCTGCCGCGCGCACGCCGCGCCCCGGCGACGCAAAATGGTTTCAAGACGTGGGCCCCCCGGGTCCGGGTGCTGCCAGAAGTGCCCCTGATCTGAGGTGCCCCCAGGAGATCCAGGGAGGCCTCCCTCTGGCCCGAGGTGGCCCCCAGGGCTGTCCAGGGAGGCCCAGCTGGCCTCCAGAGGACGAGGAGGAGGAGGAAGAGGAGGAAGAGGAGGAGGAGGAGGAGGAGGAGGAGGAGGAGGCGGAGGAGGCAGAGGAGGAAGAGGAGGAGGAGGAGAAGGCCCAGGTGATCTCCAGAGCACCCTTCACGTTGTCCCAGGGGGGCCTCAGGGGTTCCGAGCCGTAGCAAGAAACTGGGGGCACCGTGGGCCCGGGGGCACCTCGAGCAACCTCCGACCCGTGACCTCGACCTTGTTTCCAGGGGCGGGCTTTGCTTCCTGAGTCGTTTCCTCTGGTTCCTGGGGCAAGGTAACGCTTCCCGGAGGCCGAAAGCGTAGAGCAACTGGCCGTCGTTAGTCTCGTGATGCGACGTCCAGATTCGAGGGATGATGGGTTCCGTAGATGGGTAAACATGGTAGCGTTACATCTGTAGCATTCCATCCGTTGCCGTCGTGCTGTGACGAACTTCTCTTCGAATGGATGCGCAGGGAGGTGCCTGCGGCGGCGTCCACTCCGCGCGCAGCCCTGGGCCAAGAGGACAGTCTGGGCCATCTCGTGCCCACCTCGTGCTCCTGGAGGCTCTCCCCCCTTCTGCAGCAGAGAAAACCCACACAGACACTAATAATCGTCGATTCCCTTGAAAATCTGGAACACATGGGAAGTGGAAGGGAAGAGGAACCTCCAGAACATATGGAAAATTTGAGGGATCCCGGCATCTGCGTCTATCTATTTGTGTGTCCATGGGCCCCTTCACTTCTCCGCCTCCCCCCTCCGCCCTCTTCGACCCTCTCCCCTCCTGCTCCGTCTCCTCCTCTCCTCTCCTCCTGCCGCCGGCCGCTGCCACCCGTGCCGGAGGCGTCCGCCTTCAGCGCCGAGGACGCGGCCGCCCTCACGTCGTTCGTGCAGAGTTCCCAGGAGCGCGCACCCCTAGATTAGGGGGCCACATGCGAACCCTACCCCTACCCCCCACGACTTCTGAGGGAGAGGGTGGGGTTCACTTCGCTCGAGGGCTCCCCTACAGATGGGGGGGACGAGGAGTGGCAGACGCGGGAGGATGGACGGGGTCGGTGGAGGTGGAGTATAGGGGGGACGGGGAGGGGGGGAGGATCCAGGGTCGAAGCATCCGTCAGGCGATCGCAACACATGGGTCCAGGGCGCGCGGATTAGCGACGGGCCCCGTTCCCACGGGAAATCGCGGATCCCCGCCGCCGAGCGAGGCGGCACCGGGGCACCAGCCGCATTCTGGGGGGGGGGGGGCAGTTTCCCTGGTCCATGTATTTGGCGACCGCGCGCCAAATCCCTGGATCGCTAAACCAGGTTTGCGCGCCCCCGAGGGGTGGTGGTGGAGTACAGGGGCGACGGGGAGGGGGGGGATCCAAGGTCGAAGCATCCTTGGGCTCCGTGGACGTTTGTGTTTTTTGTTCCTGGCTTCCACGACGAGGCGTCTGGATGTCCCCTGGGGTAGCAGCCTGCAGAGACATCTCCCTGGGATCTCCGCAGAGGTTTTCACAGACTCCTCTGAAAGGAGGGGGTTTCACACTTCCTTTAGCAGCCTGGAGCGTATCCCTAATTATCCCTGTCACTGACATCGCCTCATCTAGATGCCGACCTTCAGGATTCCCTTAGTTTTCGAGGGCGCGTCCCTAAGATTGTCATCGCCTCCTGGCTGGTCAATCTTAGGGATAGGGGTCAGCGCGAGGCTGGTTGCTCCTCCTCATCTCAGCTCGCTCCTCACCTCCTCGTCCTGCCAGGGCGGCCCCTCTTCGCTCACAGAGGGGGGCCGGACAGCTGCAGTCCACGGCGCTGCAGGGCCTGCGCGGATGCCAAGGCCGAGACGGTCCGGGAGCCTCGTGAGTTCTGAGAAATTCAGAGGCGCCGTGGGTGTTGGGCCATCCTCCGTACCGTCAGGGGGGAGGGGGATTTTCATGCCGCCCGCTTTCGTGCCGCCCTCTTTCGATTCCTCCTCCTCCTTCGTTTCGTCCTCCTGTCTTTGGTCCTCTCTCGAAGCTGGGCAGAACTCTGAAACTGGGCGGGTCGAAAGCGGGCGTAGCGGAGCGGCCGAATCGAGGCGGCCGACATGGAGCTGATGACACATGACACTCGGACGAGTTGAAGCCCAACCGTGGGCGGGGCGCACCGAGGTCTCCTACGGCATGCAAACTTTGCACTCCGGGCGGTTTTCTCCCGCATTGGGTTGGGAGGAGGGGGAGGAGACGGAGGAGCAGGAGGAGGAGGAGGAGGAGGAGGAGGAGGAGGAGGAGGAGGAGGAGGAGGAGAGGAGAGGAGGAAGAGGAGGAGGAGAAGGAGGAGGAGGAGAGAGGAGGAGGAGGAGGGAGGAGGAGGAGGAGGACGAGGAGGAGGAGGAGGAGGTGGGAGGAGGAGGAGGAGGAGGAGGAGGAGGAGGAGGAGGAGGAGGAGGGAGGAGGAGGAGGATGGGAGAGGAGGAGGAGGCGAGGAGGAGGAGGAGGAGGAGGAGAGGAGGGGGGCCGCCAGGGCCCCGCTGCCGGGCCCAGCCGCAGGCCCCGCAGGGCCCGCGCGCCCGCGGCCACGCTCATCGGCCGGGCGCCTCGCGAGCCCCCGCAGGACGCCGCCGACGGCGACTCTGCACCGGGCGCCCCCGAGGCCGCCGCCTACGGCAGCAAGAGCGGCGGCATCGTGGAGGCGCCCATGGCGGCGGTGGCGGCGGCGACGCGTGCGTGGGCGGCCAGAGGCCGGGCGTCGCTCGGGCGTGCGCATTTTTTTGAGGGGGGAGGGGCGAGGGCCATCGAGGAGCATCCGGGATCATCGAGCAAAAAGGACGCGCACGAAACTGAAACATGCACGGGGAGTGGACGTCCGAGCGATGGGGTTGAGGACCAGGAGGTTTGGAGATCATGGCCAGGTTCATGTAATCTTCCCGAATCTTATGTCTTCCTCGTCTTCTACCAGTGCGCGTCTCTTGCCTCCCCCCCTCGCCCACGCACATGTCGCATGGCTCCGACCATGATTTGTGAACCCCCTTCTTCTTGGTGGACGGCCCCCTCTGGGACCCGCCCGACGCTTGGCGACGGCGGCGGCCAAGGCGGCGGGTACGGCGGCGGCGGCGGCGGCGTCAGCAGACCCAGACCTCCGACGATGTGTTTTTGTTCGGCTCGGGCGATGCCTTCTTCCATTGCGGCCCCTGGGGGCTCCTCCAGAGACTGGGGGCCATCAACAGTGGATGTTAGCCAGTGTGGACCCCAGGGAGTAATTTGCGCCAGTGGCCGATTTCTGTGGTGTAGGTAGACCCTCTGTTGGGGATACGCCAATTCAATCGGCCACGCGGCCGGGACACGATGTTTTCCTAGAGGGTCAGGCTTGTTGTCGTTTCGGTCAGTGCTCAGCCGCCGAAATTCGGCCACTTTCGTGGGACAAGCTTGTCCAGGGAACGAGCATCAAAAGTTCCAGAGGTCGCGAGAGGTGGTATTCTGGCTTATACAGCCTCATACATAGTTATCTATATGACCACCCTTCGGGTGAGAAATGCTGGCAAATGCAATGAGTAAGATGAAGACGATGCTGATGACGTTCCCCCGAGTTAGCGACGACGCGTGATGATGATGATGCTGATGATGATGCTGATGATGATGCTGATGATGATGATGATGATGATGATGATGATGATGATGATGATGATGATGTTGCACTGCGATGTTACGTCACTATCGCCTTCGCCTCCCGTTTCACAGCCAATGTATTATCAACCTCACTGTCGATCTCCCCCTTTTGACCTCGACATCCATCCCATCCGATCGATCCCGGCATCGACCTCCCTGTCGACTCCACCATCGACACCGAGGCGGGCCCCCCCCCGCGGCCGCCGCCCGCCCGCCACAGACGGCACGCCGACGGGACAGCACAACGCCACGGAACGCCGACGACGGGACACTAACGTGGGACACCACGACGGGAGCCGCCCGGGGGCCGCCTGGCGCGCCCCCTTGGGGGCGGAGGGGCGGCCCACGGCATCCGAGTCGCCCTAGCGTTAGGTCGGGCGTGTCCCTCTACAGGAGGAATAGACTCAACAGTAGCCAAAACATAGTCTGGGGACTACTTTGTTTGGCTATGCTGTTGAACCATCATGGAGCATTTGTGGTCCAAAATCCCCCTGTGGGGGGACAGGCCCGACCTAACCCCAGCGACGGCGGGGTCATTTCTCTCGCGCGCCCACGCAGCTCCGCCTCGCCCGCACGCGCGACACGAACACGAATCCGAAACCGATTTCCAGGCAGGTGGCGCTCCGTTCCGCTGCGATCTCACCCCCCAGCCTCAGGACGCTCAGACGTTGCCGTGCACACTGTTGACTCCAGGACCCTGTGGCTGGCATCCAGCAGACGCCAGCCCTCATGTGGGGCTCGGGGCGGTCTCGTAAGTAGGCTCTCTTCCTCCTTCCCCTCCTCCTGATTTGCACATTGACGAATTCATCCAATACAGTTTCAGGGCACCTTGTGCTTCTCCCTTCCCCGCTGGCTTGTGGGTAAGGCTTCCTGGAGCGCGCTTCCAAAAGATTTGATATCAAAGTGAGGGGGCCGAACGGTCATTCATTGTCCCTGAGTGCGTGGCTGAAGTGGGGAACCGTGGTGAGGATCCTGCGTGTTGCATTATTGCGCTGTTGCGTTGACGCGTTGTTGTTGTTGTTGTCGTCGTCCAAACCGCGACCCACCCGCGACCCCGCCCGCGACCCACCCCGCGACCCACTCGCGACCCACCCGCGACCCACCTGCCACCCACCCCGCCACCCACCCGCGATCCACCCCGCGACCCACTTGCGACCCAGCCGCGACCCCACCCGCGACCCACCCCGCGACCCACCTGCGACCCACCCGCGTCCCACCCGCGACCCACCCGCGACCCAACAGCGACCCACCCGCGACCCACCCGCGACCTACCCACATTGGTTTAACGATAGAATCGGCGCTTGCGGCGGGCTCGTTGTCAGAGGGGGGCCGAACGGTCTTTTATTGTCTCTGGGTGCGTGGCTAAAGTGGGCGTGGTGAGACTTCTGCTTGTCGCGTTTTTGCTCGTTTTTTTGTCGTCGCCTCACCCGCGACCGATCCGCGACCCCTCCCGCGACCCCCCCCTCGCGACCCACCCCGCGACCCACGCGACCCACCCGCGACCCACCCCGCGACCCACCCCGCGACCCACCCGCGACCCACCCCGCGACTCACCCCGTGACCCATCCGCGACCTTCCCGCGACCCACCCGCGACCCAACAGCGACCCACCCGCGAGCCAGCCGCGACTTGCCCACAGTGGTTTAACGACGAAATCGGCGCCTGTGGCGGGCTCATGGTATAATGTGTGAAAGTGTTGCGCTTGCGGCGGGCTTCTCCAGAGGCTCGCAGACCGCCGTCGTCCTCAACGCCCCCCCGCTCTCATCCGCACCTGCGGGGTGCTGCGGTAGTTCCTCATGCTCCTCCCTTGCTCGACCGTCGCTGCACCCCCTTCGGCGGGGAACGAGCCACACTTTGTTGGGAGAGTGTTTTTTTTTTGTTTTCTAACCTGTGGCGGAAAATGTTCTCCTTGTGTTGGCTCCGTCTGTGCAGTTGTCCTCCCTCTTTGCCCCCTGCTGTACACGCAGCCGCTGCCCAGTCTCTGCTGCGCATCGCCACGGAGTGCACGGGCTACCCGAGAGATGTTGCGGCCGCCCGTTCTATCATGCCCTTCCTCCCCCCCACAAAAACAAAGCAGAGTGCTTGGTGCAGTCTGGTGCAGCCTACGTTGCGCAAGCTATGTGGTAGAATATGTGTGGTGCAGTTGACTACCCTGCACCGCGCTTGACCACTCCACTGCTCGCGCAAACATCCCACCCACCCACCCGCAACTTGGTTCGCAAAATCTCTTAAGACCGTGACGGTGGGTACCAAATGGCACTTGCCAACGACAGCGACGCCGACGACGACAGCGACAACGACGACGACGACGCCGCCGACAACGACTACGACGACACCGACGACGTCTCCAACGACTTCGACGACGCCGACAATGACGACGACGACGACGACGACACCGACGACGACGACCGACGCCGACGACGACGACGACGACGATGACAACGACGACGATGATGACGCCGACGACGACGACAACGACGACGCGACGGACGACGACGCCAACGACGACCGACGACGACGCCGACGACGACGAAGAAGACGACGACGACGCCGACAACGACGACGAAGACGACGACGAGCCGACGCCGACGACGAACGACGAAGACGGACGACGACGACGAGGGAGGAGGGAGGACGACGACGGCGACAACGGCGACAACGACGACAACGACGAGGGAGGATGGGGAGGACGGCGACGACGCGAACGACGAAGAAGGAGGAAGGACGGCGACGCCGACGACGGCAACGACGAGGGAGGAGGAAGACGACGACGACGACAACGACGACGACAACGACGACGGGCGACGAAATAGGAGGACGACGACGAGACGCCGACGACGGACGACGACGAAGACGAGGGAGGAGGAGGAAGGACGACCACGGCGACAACGACGACGGAAACGACCACGACGCCAAAGAGGACGACGACGACGAACACGAGGAAAGACAGAGGACGACAAAGGCGACGACGACGACGACGACGACAACGACGCGGGAGGAGGGAGGACGGCGACGACGACGACGAAGACGCAAGAGCGCGCGCACACGCTTTTGTTGAAAATCCGTATTGCGAAACCTAGGGTTTTTGTAGGTTTTTTGGACGCGCGATTTCGACATCCTTCCGAAACCGATGGGTTTTGAAGGATTTCGGCGTACGCGCGCGACGACGCGCGCGTCTGCACTTCGTCCCATCTGTTGCAGAGGATTCTCGCGGCGGCACACGCGCA